GTTACACAAAGAAAGTTAATGGACAGATCAAACCGTTCAGTTCTGTAAGTGTAACATTTTTGTCAACTAACTTACCTGACTTTGTACATCTGGATTTATTTCAATATAGGGTGCATCAATATATTTCCCCGCTTTTACAATGTTTTAAATGCTTTAAATTCAATCACGATGCGAAAATTTGTAATTCAGTGCAACGGTGTTCTATTTGTGCGGATGAAAATCGGTACACTGAATGTAAGAAAAACGCGGTAATTAAATGCATAAATGTTTGTGGCCCTCATGTCGCAATTTCTAGAGATTGTCCAATAAAAAAAATCGATCGAAAAATAAAATAGGTCCACTTATGCTAAAGTCTTACAAACAACTAAATTCTTACAAATTCAAAACCTTACATACCTCTTTCGCTTCTTTCAGGTTCATTAACTTCTTCATACATGCACGTCTAGGTATCCGAGTACTCTTGACCCTCCCCTGTTCGAGCAATTTGCTCACATGGTCTTCGAAAGTTAGTCTCGGTCTACCTCAACACCTTTTAATATTTACTTTCGCTCTATATATTTTCTTCACCATTCGGTCTTCACTCATTCGTTCAACGTGCCCAAACCATTGGAGTATGCCCCTATCAATTTTTATGATAAGGTCATCTTTCAATCCTGCCATATTGCGAATCTCTTCGTTTCGCTTTCGGTCGGCTATGGTAACGCCACACATTTTACGAAGAGATCGCATGTCCACTGCATTCAACTTGCTTTTTTGCTTCTTCTGGCATACCGAGGTTTCGCTGCCATATAACAAAGTCGGTACCAACACTGCGTTATGTATTGCAAGGCGTGCACTCTTCACCACGCCTTACCTTTTTACTAATGCAATCAGGGCACCAATGACTTTGTTTCCGGCAGCGATACGCCTATCCACATCTAAATCGCATCTTCCATCCCGGCTGAAAGCACTCCCAACACACAATTTCATTTACCTGTTCCAGACATTCCTGATTTACCCATATTTCACATTTCGTTCTCTCTTCGTCCTTTTCAAATACCAGAACCTTAGTTTTATTAGCATTCAAACGGAGACCTTTAATTTCACATTCCTCTTTCATACACGTGACTAATGCCTGCAGTTCTGCTTCTGATGGTGCAATAAGCACTGCATCATCAGCATACAGCAGACAATTAACTTTTATGTCACCCAATTTCACACCCAAACAGCTATTTTTCAGCTTCTGTAAACAGCTGTCGAGATACAGTATGAACAGCCAGGAAGACATGACACACCCCTGTTTTACGCCCGCTTGGACGCTAAACATGGGTGACAGGTCATGCCCTACCCGCACACAGGCTTTACAGTCATAGTAAAGTGACTGCAGAGCCCTTAACAATCGACCATCCACACCATATTCCGGCAACAGTTCCCACATTTTCTTCCTTATAACCTTATCAAATGCTTTCTCCAGATCCACAAAAGCACAGAAAATCCTCTGGTTAACACTCAGAAGCTTCTCCGTAATCATGCGGAGAGAAAACATTTGATCCGTGCATCCTCTTCCAGGTCTAAATCCGCATTGTGCTTCCCATAAGAATCTTTCCGATTTCTCTTGCATCCTACGTGTCAAAACCTTCGAGTAAACTTTACTTGCTAAACTGGTCAAGCTGATCGCCCGATAGCACCCGCAGTCAAAATGTGAACCTTTACCTTTATATAAAGGCACAATGACCGCGGATCGCCAATCATCCGGGACATATCCCGTCCGCCAGCACAAATTGCACAGCAGATGGAAGCTGTCCCAGACGCGAGGCCCACCGTACTTGACCATTTCAGCAGTAACTCTGTCTAGTCCCGCAGCCTTACCACATTTCAAACTTCGAATCGCACGTTCAATCTCTTTCATGCTGATGACCTCAGTGTCATCGAGGTCCGTGTCTGGCGTGCCAGTCACGGCGTCACCCCCGGATCCTTCACTAAGATCATGACACGCATACATTTCTCTATAAAATTCACTCCATCGCTGCATGACGTCCGATTTTTCTGAGAGGACGTCATTGGTTCTCGAAAGCACTTTGTTCATTCTTAAGGCTGTCGCACCACTCCGGGACCCTCCAATCTCTTTCCAGAAGAGTTTGGAGTTTTCCCTAAAGTTGTGCGACAACCTCTCGTCCGCTTCTATTCTACACCTTTCACTTATCACGTATCCGCAATCAATGTTTTCGCATGAACTTTCTGCAGCTTATATCTTTCTTTCATCTTCTCTCTCTTATGCTCATCGTTACTAGAGGCCAAGTAGTCTAACCATGCTTTTTTCTTCTATTTTACAGCTTCTCTCACTTCATCATTCCACCATGCATCTCTTCTTTTACTACTACCTCTTTTTGTCGTACCACATACTTCTTCCGCTGCACTTACCATTCCATCCCTAAGGTTCTGCCATGTTCTCTCCACACATTCTTTCCTGCCATCGATGGTGTCAAGCTTTTCGGTTACCCTCGTGTGATATTTGTCCCTAGTATCCGCTTCCTGAAGCTTCCAGCTTCGGATGCGACAGACCGACTGTGGTTCTGTTACTGCCGTCCGGTAGCGCCAACCCGCGAACAAACCCCTAAATCTAGTAATTACTAGATAATGATCCGTTCCCAGGTCAGCACCCCTGAACACTCGTGTATCCATCACCTGTTTTCGCAGTCGGTCATCCACCAGGAACAAATCCATCATACTTCTCTCATTCTTTCTTTCTCTAGTGTACATATGGATTTTCCTGTAATTAAACATAGTGTTTGTCACAAGAAGACCCTTTTCCTTGCATACAGCCAGTATAAGCTTGCCAGCATCATTAACGAGTCGGTGCTTGGAAAGTTTGGCGATAAAAGGTTATCACCAAACTTTCCAAGCACCGACTCGTATCCTGGTCGAGCGATACCTACCCATCCATTCAAATCACCACATAAACAGTTCTTTCGTTTCCCTTAACCAAATCTAGAACTTCTCTTACATTCTCCCAAAACTCCTCCAGCTCAGCCCTGGACGACGAAGCTACCGGCGTATAAACAGCCAAAAGGAATAACTTCGTCAGTCCCATTTTGAAGCGAACCCAGAGAAGTCTTGAGTTCACAACCTTGTATTCAGTCATAAGATCGACCAACCGGGACGACAACAGCACTCCCACTCCCTGGCAGGCGTTCTCGCTTTCCGGGACTCCGGACCATATAGCTAACGTCCCGCCAGGGAGCTCTTCAGTACCACTGCCTTTCCGTTTGGTCTCCGACATACACACGACATCTAATTCTCTTTCTTTCATTATTTCGATCAACTCATTCGTCTTATCTCTCATGCCCCCTCTAACATTCCACGTGCCAACTCTGCACTCCGTCCTCCACCTTCCGCCGTGTCGGGCTGTGCGTGACGGGTGGCGGTCCCCATCGCCGCTTTGCGCGCTGCATTCCACACCAACGGGGACGAGCTGGTGTAATAACACTTATTGACCAAATTATAACAAATGACAATATTTTGAAAGCAATTATTGGAGCATTGGTGGCCATGGGCAACTCAGGCTGTAAACTGACTACATCAAGTATAAAAGAAATGCTTATTACTAATCTTAATAACAATGAATTAACAATTTATTCGAATTTCACAATCTAATATACAATCTGTTAATAATAAAAAGCCTTTGCTTATTAATTATCTGGTTGAGAATTATGTAGATATTTGCCTGTTAAATGAAACCTGGTTGCGAGAGGATAGAACTATCAACAACTACTATTATAATTTCATTAATCAGAATAGAAAAAATGGACGTGGAGGAGTAGCAATATTAATTAAAAATAGTTTCAAATGTTTTGTTGTCCCCACAACGTTCTATGATTATATGCAGCCTTTAGCTATAACCCTTTCTACAAGTCTAGGTAATATATCCAGTTTATGTGTCTATACCTCACCTAGTGGAGGGCGCTTTAAGGTTAGAAGGTTAAAACAAATTATTAACTGTCTACCTGCACCACTGTTGCTCTCAGGTGACTTAAATGCTCATCATATTGCTTTTGGATGTCTCACAACAAAAACTAGAGGCACTGATATGTATAACATGTTGGAATGTGATCTTTGCATATTAAATGATGGATCTCCAACTACGGTGGGAAACATTAATTTTAATCAATTTTCTATTGATCTTTCATGTGTTAGTCCTTCTTTAGTTCCTTTATGTGACTGACGACATGTACATGATGATCCTATGGGTAGTTATCACTATCCAACTACAGTCGACTTACACTTGTGTTAAAAATATGATATAGGAGAACCTTGTGAACGTTTCAATTATAAAAAGCAGACTGGTCAAAGTTCCAGGCTGAAAAAAAAGTTTGAAAACGTCACATTTGATACATCCAATTTGCTTGGTACTTATAAAAACTTCTGCACCACACTTTTAGAAATAACGAAAGACTGTATACCTATAATTTCCAAACCTAATGTGTTTGCTATGAGAAAACCAGTTCCTTGGTGGGACGCGGACTGTTTGGAAGCTGTAAAGAAAAGTCAAAATGCCATAAGATTTTACAAATTAAATCCTACAATAGAAAATTATATAGAATATAAAAAGATTAATGCATTCAAAAAAGATTAATAAGTGAAAAAAAAGAAAACAAGTTGGAGATGAATTTGTGATTCATTTAATAGATATACTTCAATAACTTATATCTGGAATAATATTAGGAGATTTAAAAGGGTACCTGTATATACCATCAAAAAATGATGATTGGATTCCTTCTTTCTTAGATAAATATGCTCCCATAACAACACCACCATTTGAAAAGGAAATAGATATTTTAAATTTAAATACAATATTTAATCAGATAGGTACTGATAGTAGCTCTTTTCTATTGAAAGAATTTACTTGGCATGAATTTACTGTAACTATCCAATCAAGGAGAGATTCCACTCCAGGTGATACCTATTTTCAAACCTGATAAAACATAACATAACTTCAACTCCTACAGGCCATTTTCACTTTCCTCTTATGTAGGAAAATTATATGAATACGTGTTGAAAAACAGACTAGACCATTAAATAGAAGCAAATAAGTAAAAGTAAGGAAAAAGTACTGCAGAGAGTTTTGCCTCTTTGATCTCAGATATAAATCATTCAGTTACCAGTCATGCAACTACAGTTTGTGCATTTATCGATATACAAAGTGCATTTGATAATGTAGATCCTTCTATATTTGCAAATATTCTGTGTGAGCTTAGTATTCCTGGAAAAGTATGTAGGTATATGGATTTTTAATTTGCTATATGACCGAACTATGTATGTTAAATTTAATAACATAATATATGGCCCTATAAATGTATACAAAGGTATAATGCAGGGTGCTACTATATCTCCCTTGTTATATAATATATATACATGTTTACACCTGGTGCATCAGAATATACAAGGCATGATAGGCAAAGAGCTAGAAATTGAATTGTTTTTAAATAGCAACAATATTCATATTTTATGTATTACTGAACATTGGTTAAAAGCTCATAATTTAATGTTTAACTTTAGTAATCACCAGGTGCTCAGTTCTTTCAATAGAGAAACGATTTTAAGAGGTGGCTCCTTAATTTTAGCTAGTAAATTATTATCATATAAAGAACGTAAAGATATTGTGAGCCTCTCTGTTGAGCGAACTGTAGAAATGGCATGTGTTGAGTTTGAGCACCTCATTGTTGTGAGCGTTTACAGACCCCCATGTTCATTATATGATACTTTTGAAAAAAATTATGGAGGAAGTTTTCGCTAAGCTTAATAAACAGAATAAATCTGTTGTAATATGTGGAGACTTTAATATCAATCTCCTAGAAGCTTCCTCCACTAATATTAAATTTAGATCATTGTTTAAATCTTATGGTCTTTTTAATTTATTTTTGGAGCCAACACGTATTGCTGAATCTAGTGCAACATGTATAGATAACATTTTTACAAATGTTAAGCCGTTCAATAAATGTATTATTCAAAAATTGAGCTCTGATCGCTGTGGACAATTTGTTTCATTACCTTATGTTCACAAAAAGCAAGTAGATAAAAAAGTAGTGTTTGTTCCAGTAAATGCACATCGCTTGGAGAAGTTTAGAAGTAACATAGTAAAAAAACTTCCATTACTTTCATACCAAAATAATCCAAATTTTTTGTATGCAAAATTATTTAAGCTCATTTGCAATGAATTTAATAATACTTTTACTTCTAAAACACTCTCCTTGAATAATCGTAAAGCATTTAATGAATGGGCGACAGTAGGAGTCCATAAGAGTAGACAAAGGTTATATGAACTTTACAATGAAAGGTCATATAATCCTAGCGTCGAAATTAGGGAATATGTAAAAAAATATTCCAAAATATTTAAAAGAGTGTGCTCCTTAGCCAAGTCATTGTATTTAAGCAACAAAATAAAGACTGCTTCTAATAAAATTAAAATGACATGGAGTATAATTAATAGTGAAACTGGTAAGGTCAACTCTCGCAATTCAAACTACCAGTTAAGTTTTAACAATAAATTAACTAAATCAGATCGGGACGTTGCAATGGTTTTTGAGAAATATTTTACTGATATTCCGATCTTAACCACTAAGTCACTGAATTCTTCTCCTACCGTCGCCGAATCATTACTTAAACAAAATGTAAATGTGTGTACAAAGAATTTTACATTTCATAAAGTTTCATCAAAAGATATTGTAAAATATTTTAAGACTATTGATATTAAGAGAACCGCCGATCTGTGGGGGATTTCTGTTGAAGTTGTGGCGTCTATAATAGATACAATCGCACCCTAACTCTCTATTATTTTTAATAGTAGTATCAAATCTGGTGTGTTTCCTGATTTAATGAAGCATAGTAAAGTAATACCTTTATTTAAATCTGGTAGTACACTGGACCCCGCTAATTTTAGACCTATTTCTGTACTGCCAACACTTAGTAAAATTTTTGAAAAAATTATTCTTGATCAATTGTTAATTTTTTTTAATGTAAATAAATTACTTCATAAAAATCAATTTGGTTTCACAAGGGGTCGCTCGACAACTGATGCTGGTGTTGAGCTGATTAAATATATATTTAATGCATGGGAGAATTCACAGGATGCTTTGGGTTTGTTTTGTGACCTATCCAAGGCCTTTGATTGTGTTCACCATGAAACATTAATCAGGAAACTTCAACATACGGTGTAAGAAATGATGCTCTTAAATTAATTATTTCATATTTAAGTGACAGAACACAAAAAGTTGTTATTAATAGTATGAGTTCTTCTGGGTCGATTGTACAAATGGGCGTGCCTCAGGGCTCAATTCTTGGCCCCTTTCTGTTTCTTGTATATATTAATGACTTACCTTACATAGTAGGGGATAACCATGATATAGTATTATTTGCTGATGATACTTCATTAATTTTCAAATTAAAAAGACAGTTATTAAATTACGACGAAGTAAATAATGCTATAGCTAAGTTATTCAATTGGTTTAATGTTAATAATTTGCATTTGAATGGAACTAAAACTAAATGTATGAAATTTTCGTAACTCCTAATGTTAAACATGTCAATACTAATGTAATTTTAAATGGGGAGGAACTGAGTCTTGTTGATACCACCATTTTTCTTGGAATCACACTGGACGCAAAGCTTCAATGGCTCCCCCATATATCAAAACTAGCTAGCAGACTTAGTTCTGCAGCATATGCTGTAAAAAAGATTAGAACTCTTACCAGTGTTGAAACAGCTAGAATAGTTTACTTCAGTTATTTCCATAGCATTATGTCGTATGGTATTTTGCTATGGGGACACGCGACTGACACTGAAATTATATTTATTTTACAGAAGAGGGCCATTAGAGCAATATATAATTTAAAACCAAAAGAGTCACTGAGACAAAAATTTAAAGAAATTAATATATTAACTCTGGCCTCTCAATACATTTATGAAAATGTAATGTACGTACACAAAAATAAAAGTAGTTTTGCGAAAATAAGTGATATTCATTCTGTAAATACTAGGAACAGACACAAGCTGGTAGTACCAGTTACTCGACTCCACCGAGTCAGTAATTCATTCTTGGGGCGATGTATACGCTTTTACAACAAAATCCCAGAAAATATACAAAATTTGTCATACACAAAGTTCAAAAATGTTATTAAACTAAGTTTGTATAAAAAGGGTTATTATAATATTAAGGAATTTATAGATGATAATAACCCCTGGGAAGGGTGATCGCTACCAAGCTATTTCTAATTTGTCTTGTGTTGTTGATTGTAAACATGATTGTAAGCTATTATTGGAAAAAAATAGTCCCGCTGGGTTTCTTGCTGGTTCTTCCCAGGACAGAGGTTTTTTTTGCGAACCAGTGGTAAATTAAAAAAAGTGACCTTCAATAAGTATTTTTATAATCTACATTGAATAAAAAAGTTTCTATTTCTATTTCTATTTCATGTTTAATAAGTAAATATATTACAAATAGAAATATAAACTATTTGCAAATTGCTGATGATCTCTTTGTATAAACTGTAAATAAAGATGTAAATATAGCGGTAAACAATTTAAATTTAGCATTAGAACAAATTCATGATTTTTATTCAAATAATTTGAAATTAAACATTAGTTCTAGTAAAAGTGGAGCTCTCATTTCTTTTCACTTGTTCAAAATGTTGTTTTTAACTATAGCGGCCAAGGTAAATTCGTTGATAAATGAGTTATTTGAGACTTGTGAATTTAGTGCGTTCATCGATTGTTCAAGTTCGATCATCTTTTTGTTGACTGTTTTATGATGCTGTTCCATGATCGACTCTACCCTCTTGATGACATTGAACTCCGCTTCTACGACTGAAGTTTGATTCTTCCACAGCTGGGCTAGGTGTCCTTGGTTTTTTCTGATTAAGTCGATATCTTTTTCATACTTTTCAGCAAATTTGCTGTCAAGCACCCCAAACAACGCGTTTGCGATATTACCTACACCATTAATGAGTCCCTTGCGCTTACGTGTGATTAGGTCTTCCTTATCTTGCAACATGATATTGTAGCGCCATAGTTCCAACTGCTCGTGATTCAATTGATACATGACACCCTCGCAGTGTGAATGCCCTCTTATCTTCGAACAGATGGTTTCTAGGTATTCCATGTACTTCGAGCCCGCGGCGGTGCCTTTCCAATATGGGTAGAGATCATAATAGACAACGAGTTTCCAATCGTCAGCTATCAAATGCATGTTTACAATCTTGTTGAAAAATAGGCTAGTATTATTTTGTAGTTTATTTATAGTATATAGTCCGCTAGTATTAGTTATAAGAGTCATAAAAATAATAAGACAGAAGTTGCAACTGTAATGAAACGGTATCTTCTATTCCTTTGTTTTATCTTACTCTTCGTTGGTTTTTCTTGCTTTAATTCTTGATCTTGTGTTTCTTCGGAGATGATCAGGAGTATTGATAGTTTGATAACAGGTCTTTTCATATAACCATTTTTGTTTTTAACGTCACAACACGCACGTAGCCGTCATTAC